CCCCAAAACCCCAAAACCCCAAAACCCCGAATTACTATTATATTTCTTAAAAATATAAACTTACGATATAAATAAAAATCTATCAAAATACTAAAATAAAATGAACGATTCAATGATCTTGAGGGAAAGATTGAAGACTAGTAGCTTTAGATCTAGAAGTAACTAGAGAAAATCCTTTCTATCCACTTCAAATGACCAGGACGAAATCCCTCTAAAAGTGACAGAGTATAGTAAGTGAGCATACTATATCTAATTACCTTTATCAAGATCCTTATGAGATTAATGACTCGAGAAACTAGCCGATGTTTCAGCAGAAGAAAATGTCATTAAACCCTAAAATAGAAAGGCTCCTTGATAACTACTCATTGAAAAATATCTAAGGTCATAAAAGTTCTATTGAGCATATTCAAAATAGGAATAGGATTATGCAGCAACTAAGGAATAGAAATAAGTCAAGTCAAAATGGCAGGAATACTAATTAATCAAACTTAGCATAAGATCAAGTAACTATTAATCTAGTCGAAGAAGATAAGAAAAAGGAGTTACTCCTTTCTCCAAGCAGATGGTCGCCTACTGGCTGGTAAGATATTAAGATCAAATGCTTATTTAAATAGGGTATTCAAGGAACAGTCATAATATAAAACTCCAAATGAAATGATGAGATCAAATCTAAATGGCTTTTATTGCCATAGAGCTGGAGAATATGAATAAGATTCCTTATCTCCTGATAAGAAGTTAATTTCTACCTATTAGTCCACATTCTCTAATCTGAACCAAATTAGCGCACTTCCTAATCTAAGGAATATGCCAAATCATAATGCAAAACTTAAGATGCAAATGAGTCGGCTTACTCAGCTAAACGATAATTTGATGAAGAATATGAAAAAAGGCAATAATAGAACATCAGATTAAGATGGATATAAGGTTCATAGAAACGATTACGCACCAGATGGAATCACTTCCTTGAACATGAACTTTAGTTCTAATAGCATATTTAGAAGGCATAAAAATGAAGTGAATAATGCATAAGGAGGAAGCATAAATACTCTAAATAATGTAGGAGGAGTATTAAATTAGTCAGCTATAAATGAATCAAGCGAGTAGAATTAAAAACTAACTTACTGGGCTGGAATGTATGTAAAGCAAGTCAATGATGTTAGTTAAGGTGCTACAAAACCTAAAATTTCATTCAACAGAAAGGCAAATCCCTATAATGCTAAGTATTATGTTTACTGATTATATAATACTGTTATTAGACAAATATTGCTTCAATGAAAAGAGACTCTTTAGTAACTTAAATTGTAAAATTAATATAATTAATTTCATTACTCCCAAACAATATAGCATTATGGGGTTTTGGGGTTTTGGGG